CGTGATAGTTTTCGCCTTTGACTAAGCCGTTCTTTGCGGTTTTACTGAGGATCTGCGGTCTCCAGCGCTAAAACAAGCTCACTAATAATTGTAAATGTAGTAGCTTGTATCCGAGAGGTACTTCCCATTCGCAGGTAGAGGCCATCTGTGTGTCATATTTACGTCCACAACAGCTCTTGATAGTTTCAAAGAAAACTGTTAACAGACAGAAAATAAATTTTGATTTTGAATCCGAACTGTGCTTCTGCCGACTGACCTGCCCTCAAAATCATGTGAGACGCCATTGTACAACGCACTCTTGGTCTTCGGTGAGGCAGGTCTCATGTCCAATTCAAAGTCAATCTCCTCTCGCTGCCTCATCGCCTCTTCTCGAGCCAAACGTTCTGCCTCGATGCGCTTTTGTCGCTCCTCAACCTCCTTGGCCAGTTTTTCACACCAGACACCCAGTTTTTGCAATCTTTTTCTAAACAGTGTCGAGGCCGTGCCCTGAACTTCAGTAGACATTATCTGCTCCTTATGCTTGACAAAGAAATCGAGTTGGGAATTATCCACCTTGCGAATGGCATCCTTGAGAAATTCGGTTCGTTGCACGCCCTCATCCGGCGGTTTTTCTGTCATCTTCCGTCCACTCTTTTGCTCTGGCTCGGGCCTTGTGATATCGATTGGTGCCTGTCTTTTTTAAACTCTAGCCCACAGACTAAAGTCGGCCGGAGAAGATTGGTCCAACCTTAAATTTGCTGACCACCTGCCTGTACAACACATTCCATTACAAGAATGCTATGTCTACCTCCCGACAAGGCCACAATGCAGACCTCCATACACAGAAGTATGAAGAGTATGGTAGAAAGGGCTAGCGTTTTTGCTCAGGTAAAATCACCAGGAGACAGCTCTCTGGAATGTTTAAAAAAATACAGGAGAGCATTGGCAATACCCAAAACAAGTTATTTAGGTGTTTTCGATCAGAAGATGCTCAAATAGACTTATTAAACAGCGGTACCTTTTTAAGCTTCCCTGTTCTCTGCGTGAAATTTTCGGCGCAGGAGTTTGAGCATAGCTGAGCAGTCGCGAGTAAGCAGTTATCGCGCGGAGTCAGAGTTCACAAACCTAAAGTGTGCGGAGCAAACGGTTCGGAGGCCAAACAAATGGTGTTCTGGACAGTAAAAATGCTCAAGAAGACCCCCGATCACTCATGCATAAGCCAAATGATCTCCATTTTTTGATGTGGTTTTAAGGGTACAACCTAGAATAACTAAAATATTCTGCTTCACCAAAGTTTTGTTTCGAAAAATTTGGTAAGCAAATGGGTATGGTCTTCTTTAGTCGGTGTGGACATGAGCATTTGGAGAAAATTAAGTGAAAACCATATCGTTTGCAAAACACCGTCAATGAAAAATGGAGAGAAATATTAGTATTCAGTTCGGCTTACATTGCCTAGTGAAATTTAGATATAAATTAGAAATATTTTGAATAGTATCCTTCTATTTGGTGAGAATACAATATGTAAATGCAACCACTGATTCAAAACTTGCTTCCGTATTTTATTTGGGCATAAATGTTTCGTGAATTTTAGCACCATTGAAACGGTGATCTTAGTGTTCACTTTTACGGTTTGGATTAGTAAAGGCTGGGAATATACGTATACACGGTAACTTCGGTTAATAAGTTTAATCCGTTGCGGCACCGAGCTCCTCATATTCAATTCTCGTCTTGTGAAAATTAACTAATAAAATTGCACCAACTCACTGACTGACTGCAGTTGACAGAGGACCCACGTCCAGGAGGCAAGACTCAACGGCGGACACAGGCACACACACACAAACGCACTGTTAATTCGATAACTGGGCGGAAGCCCGTCAAGTGAAATAAATTGTCTGCTAGTGGCGCGCTCGTTATCTGAAATGCTTGTAGATGGGGCTGCTCGTCAGCCGTTTTTCCACTGTACATGATATCGTGTTCATGATCCCTCGGATAGGCCGAAGAAGATACGCGTTCATGGACCGAGATATACTTAAACTGCAGTTTTAGAAACTCTCGCGTTCCTTTCATCTTACTCTTCCTGTGGACCTTCATTTGTTCCGCCTCGCTACCTGCCTTGTGTTATAATCGCGCTCAGCGCACGTACTTTGGCTTGCTTATTGATCATTGGTTGGATTTGGCCCTCTCTGCTACCCACCAATGAGGGGCTCGCACGCTTTGTGTCCCCTTAGTGGCTGCTATGCTTGTTGCTACTCCAGCGTGCTTGTTGGCCTCCCCTTCGTCAAACGGTGGACTGGCCAGTCGTCGTTGCTCACGCCTGGTGCTTTTGGACTCGCGGGCGCATCAGTGAGATAGTGTGCCACGCCGGTCACGTGAACTCCAGGCCGTGCTTCCCCTTTCCTCCACGATTGTCACCTGTCACCTTTGGTGTGACTTTGATTGTTCGCCCTATTGACCATCTCTGACCTATATTAAGCTTTGTACAGAGCGCCTGGTAGGCGGGATGTAGATATATAGCTGTGTGAAGTGTCCCACTTGAGGACCAATCATTCAGTATCATTCTGATTATCCAATCGTTTGCTCGGGCGATCACCATTGCTTTCTCGAAGGTGAAATTGTGGCCCTGTTGTTGTACAGTAGTCGCCGGTTATTAAGCCGGTTAATAGGCCCAGCCGCTTATTAAGCCCAATTTGGTCTGGGCCCAAGATGGGCTTAATAACCGGCGACTGCTGTACGTGGCCATAGACCAGGGACAGCTTACCCATGCGGATGTTGTTACGATCACAACGGCCACGAGGGGGACAGAATATGTGTGAGCCTGCCATTGGTGGGTAGCGGAATAGCCAAAACCAACCAATGGTCAATAGGCAAGTCAAAGTACGTGCGTTGAGCATGGTTCTAACACGAGGCAGGCGGCGAGGTGGAACAAATCAAGGCTCACAGGAAGAGATAGTTCAGTAATTTAGTGAAGGAAACGCAAGAGTTTCCAAAACTTCAGTTCAAGCATACCTCTGTCCATGAACGCGTCTCATCTTTATCTTCTCCAGGGGATGACGAAAGCGATAGGGTATTAGGACCTCGGATCTCCACGCATATTGCTATCTTCATGCTATATACATATTATGTACGCAAATACTGACTATGTGTAGGCTATTACCAGCTGACGTGTGATCTGATGTCGGGGCACGCAGGCCAACGCCTTGAGAGCTGGGATCCGTGTCGCTGTCTCCATCATGTAATTGTTATGTTAAAATCCTGTTTAAGTGTTTCTTGTAGACAAAGTAGCATCGCAGTACGCGTAGGTGTGCATTTCTCCATGCCAGCCACCCAGGTCTTCTACCTCCGATCTTCTTGACTCTACCCTTAGGATGGAGTGCGGTAGATGCAGTGCATGCCTACTATCATTATAACCTAATCCATGCGCTTGGCACCGTGTTCACTTCCAGTGTGCTATGACACACGTGATGGACGTCGTCGGACTGGACGGTCGAAATGTCAGGTAAGTGATATGATTTTGTCTTTTTTCAAGGCCTCTGAGATATTTAAGCTGATGAAAGTGTGCTTATTGGCCAAAAGTCATCAAATAACCTAGAACGATCCTGATTGGTAGTCCCTCCATGCACTGGGAAAAGTTTCCTTTTTCGAGAGCGAGACTAAATTTCTTACACACTATGGGCGGAAAAAAGACTGGTGTCAGCCATTAAGATGCTAACCAGGCCACTATCCTAGCCGGGACTATGACATTGTTAAAATAGTTTGCTCCCGGAAATGAGAGTACATGACAGGCCAGGATTAGGTTGTTTTACCAGGGAACGTAGTGGTA